CAGAAAGAAGAATCTGACAGTTTGGAAAAAGACCCTTGCTAAGGTCATGTTCCCTTAGTTTGGGCCTGGCTGCCTCCAACTGGGCCCAATGGCCTTATAATTTTCTAGGCCCTTACATTTGATAGTTTGAAATCTATATTATATTTTACATATATAATTTATGTGAAATAAAGTATGAAATGAAATGTCATTGTAACAATAGGTTTGGAAAAAGCTGTGATCTAATAGAAAAATATTTAACAATGTAAAACCGATTTTGATGGGAATTGCTGTGCTGATTTGATATATGGTAATATTTAATTATATAAATTATGTATTTGTTTCTTGTTTTTTAATTGATTTTCGTTTAAATTTTTTAAAATACTTATTTTACTTTTTGGAGTCAAAGACCTTATTAATGATCAGTCGAATGGTCAGTTACACCGTAGAAAAGAAAATCAGACGGTTAAACTTTTGACACAAGGTAAGTAAATAACTCTGATTGAGCTAATAATCAGGATTAAATAAATTTGAATTATAATTAGGTTAATTCGTATAGAAATTCTATTAAAAAATTATAAGGTATTTAATACACATTAATTATTTTTATATTTGATTTCAAACTTATTTTAGTATTAAAGTATCTTTCTATCCATGTTGAAACAAACACAAATATGAACATTGAAAAACATAAAGAAAATGAGACAAAAGAACTTGTATCAGGAACTTATCAACCCTATATACCCGTAAACTTGTAAATTTTAAGGTATTTTAAAAAATTTATAAAAATACTAATAATTTAACACTTTTTCTTCACTCTTATTCTATTATAATATTTAATACTAGTAATATAGAAGATAGAAGTGAATTGAAATATCACATTTTAAGTTAACTTTTTTTTTTTAAAAAGACATAATTTTGTCAAAAATTAATTTGTTAATTTAAATGTCTCTTATCCAATGAGATATTTCAAAGTTTGAATGAATAGGAAATTTTTCATGGCCTAATCACAAATGGTAAATGAAAAAAAAAATTAATAAAAGTGTTCCACAAAACTATTTAACTATTAATTTTGGTATACCAAAGAAATACTTTCTTAGTAATTATTCTAAATTTATACTTAAGATAATTTGTATTAGATAGTAATATAAAAGAAATGGCAGTTTATCCAAATGTTGGAATAATGGTATTTGCGGGTCTTTGTTGGTCATGTAGTGTCACTGTTAGCAATTTTGGTTGATGATTGTGTTTGAACACGTGCAGTTGCACCTTGCTGTTTCAAGATCCTCCCTAAATTAAAAAAAAAATGAAAATGTAATTTTATGTTTGTCATTTTAATTTTGTTAGTTTGAATTTTGTTGTTGCTAAAATTAATATTTGTGTGCACTTTTCATGTATAGATTACTATTAATTTAGTTTATCAACCTAAATATTTACAGTTATTTTTATTTTTGAAATTAATAACAGATTCGGGTTCTAATTAAATTATTGATTTTTATTTTAGTTTTTAAATTTATTCTATAAATTTCACTCTACTGTATAAAAAAAATTAATCGTAGAAAAAAAAAATGGGTTGTTGTGTAATTAGCTAATACGAGTCCGCTCTTGATTCTTAAGACGGTACCAATTTCGCTGAAACCATAGAAAAAATCCCTATAATCTGTAATCTGTTGGTGGGTTTGAATGGCGAGCAGCTGGAGAAGAACGTTGGGCAACGCGAGGTCCTTCGTGAGCAATTCGATGGGTGGTCTGAGGGGCGGAAGCAACCTTGCTTCGTGGGTGGTCGCCGGAACCCTAGCCTACTACCTCTGGATCAAACCCTCACAAGACCTCAAACGCCAACAGCAGGTTCTTTTCTCTCTTTACTCTATTGTCTCTCCAAACTTCAATTTGCAAACAGCGCACTCACTGTAGCAGTGGACCCCACAGGAAAAAGCCGCACTTGCCGCCTCCGAAGCCGATCCTTATCGATACGTTGAGACTCGAAAACCCGTCCCCGATCCTCAGGTTTCAGTTTTGCACCAGTCTCTCTTTTCCAATTTCATGTACTCTTCTTCCGCTTTTGTAATGAATTGGGTTTCAATTTCAACAATTCCAGGTAACGGGTTTGATATACGGAAAAAGAAACGAGGACAGAGAAAGCAAATCAGAGGATTAGCATGTGAGTTTGTTGCCTATCATATACTGCTATACAGTCACTACATTCCGCATAGTCAATGAAGCTAGATACATAGATAGATCCCTGTCTTTCCTCTACATGTAAGTGTGTCAGGGGGCATGGCTTCGTCTTGATTTATTGCTGCACTTGTAATGCTCTGCGCAGGGGTCAAAAATGAAATCAATATCAATAAGGCATATCTTGTGTTTTGATGCATGCTCAATTTCATCTCAGATAAATTATATATACTGGTACTTTTTTTTGTATTGCTGTTTCTGACAACATACTACATGGTGATGCAGTAAATTAGGTTATACATTTAGCAGCAGTGCTCTTTCGGTAAGCTTTTTCTTTGGTGTGTTATTATTTTTTTAGTGTTGAGAATCAACGTTTGTAATAACCTTCCATGCTTCACGAGACTGGAGGGATGCTATAAAATTGTAATGAATAAGTCCTGACATTACCCATGAAGCAATGTTGAGGATAGTTTCATGCTTACTGTTATTCTATCAATTGCATTACATCAGTTTTGTGAAACAAATTAGAAAGTTGCTGTAGTCGTTATGTTGCGCAATGAATCTTGTGAGTTTGTGTGTTCAATATCTGGAAGCGCACCAATCACGTTTTGGTACTTTGATAAGTAGAGTATCGTATCCCTAGAGATTTATGTATCAAACAATAACTGCGACAAATTCACTAATCAAACTAAGTGCATTAATAGAAACATGTATCTATAAACAGATTAGTGCAAATAGAACTCTTTGGGGAATTTTATCAAACAGTTGGAATAAAAAAATATTTTATGGAAGAACGTTGTTGGAGTTAAACATTTGTAGGAACCTGACTCATGTAAAGAAGAATCTCTCGTCCTTATTTCTATCATTTTGCAAATTCAATCATCTCAGTTTTCTCAAAACTTAATTAATGAGTTTGATTCCTAATTTCAGATGTCTAATCCCTTGGAAAACCCAATTATAGAAATCAGCCCTAGAATAGAGGATTTAAGTCCTGAAAATTAGTATTCAACAAGTTGTACTTCATATCTAAACTGTAAACATGATTTGCAACACTTTTATCTTCATAGATGTTTGGTTGATCAAGCCAAATAGAATTGAAAGCATAGAAGTAGAAATAATTGCACTCTATAGAAATTAGGTCACCTATATACAAGGATTACATGATTCAACTCCTGCTACAAAATTGATGAAGAATTTGGACTAAATGTGAGGAGATAATAGTCAGATTCAAATTTTTCTTTGATGGAAAAATGAATCAACTAACCAACTCGACCATGTGGTTGGCTTTATAACTACACTTTTTGTCACGTCAATTTGTTTTGCTTCAGCAAGATAATTTCTTGCTTATGGATTTCTATCTTAGGTGTGGTGAATTCTGACTTACGCACCATTTTTTTGCTCTCTTCATCTGATTTTGCTTTAGTGATGGAGCTTTTCACTTATGTAACTTAGTTCCTCAACTCTTCTTTAATACAAAAATTTAAACATTCATCAACCATTAATACACAATTCTTTTTATCATTTTATGTGTAATTTGATAGATTCTGTGATCTAAACCATGAGAAATAGTGGATAATTGCTCCCAAAAACTAAGTGTAAGAAGTAATTATACTCTTTGAAATCCACACAACGGACTTAATCACAACCATTCCTATACTTTGCTTTCTGAATTTCGTGCTCGTGACCATCGCTACATAATAACATGTTGACAAGTTCAGACATGCTCAGGCACCAGCAGTTCTCGGAAATGTTCAGCCAACAACAGTTCTTGGACATGCTCTTCACACAACTTACCTACCATTATATGGTCCTGAAAATGGAGTCTTCACATCACGGAAAACTTGGAAGAGATGTAACTAGAAGAGAAGATGAAGAATAATGCTGCGAAAATATTGGAGAAAATAATGTAATAAATAAGGTCTTGTAAATATTGGCATAGTGTATTAGCTAATTGTGATATCCAACTTGTGTTTGGATAAAGTTTTGCCTAATTCTTGGGTAGAATAAGAGCGTGACATTCGAACACTCCTAGGTTTCTTTACAGAAAGTTCCCACATCACCCCTTTGCCTGGTTAGCTCACGGTCACAAAGGCCTAATATAAAGGAACTCAGTAACTTTATAACACAACTTATTTGAAGAAAATACGTGAGTGAGTTTCTCTCTCTCTAGAGAGTTTCTAATCCTTTTGTTAGTGTCAAGTGACAATTCTTTTAGCTGTGTTCTTTAGCTTATCCAAGGTGGAAGGCCTTGAGGAGATCAAGTTCATCTCCTTTCTTTAACTTCAAGAGGAAGCCACATGTTATGGTGAGATTTAATTTCTTTTTTTGTTTCCATTCTTGTTCTTTCCTTTTTATTTTTTTTCTTGGAGAACAATTTAGAGTAGCCTGGTTCAAGTGCAGACCAAGATTTGACCAAGAACCAAGAAACCAAACTAAATCCTCAAAGAGGCCAAGCAAGAAGACCATTTGGCATTTCCCCACCAAATCACCACTGTAATTGAAGAACCTACACCATTCTTTTCCTCGCACGTTCAGAAAAACCCTACCATGAACCCTACCAAAGAGTCATCAAAGAATCCAATTTCCAACCTACATTGATCGTAGCTTGCACAAATTTTTCTCACCAATTCTTGGCTCTAAGAATCATCAATGACTCTTCCATGTTCTGACCTAAACCTTACATAACTTTTCAGTCATCCTTACCCTTATCCTTACCCTTCCACAGACATACAAACTACAACCTACTCAATCCAAGAACTACCCAAGAAAACACACAAACTAGGGGAGTGTTTTTCGTTCTTCTCATCTTGTGTCTTAGAATTGGAAGCTACAAAGTGTCTAGATCTTAATCCCTTCATCACTGGCTGGGATCTCATCACACCACCTCATTAAAAACACTTTTTCAAAATCTCTTAGACATTGGCAATGTAAGTGAGCTGATATCTACTTTGGCTATACACTTTCCAGATACCTCAATCATAATTTTTCTAAAAATAAACTTACATTATTAATATTAAACTTATTACAAATTTGAAATTATTTAAAATATTATGACGGGAAGCATATTACCCTTCTTCATTGAGAACAAACATCTTGTGCACAAACTTTGTTTTTGTCTGGATGTTAATAGTGCTTGTTCCATTGTTGTAGTTTTCAACATGGTGTTTGTGTTAGTGTCAACTGTTGCCAGATGTGCCTTTGTCTTCTGTAGTTGAGGGTAACTCTCCACCATCGTGGTGGTTACCAAAGCGTATGTTTATTGTTTTAGAAGGTGAATACACGGGTCTTGAATCTCATTTAGATTTTTGTTATGTAGATTATACATGCCAATGTAGTTTCTTGATCCATTGTGTTTGGTGTCATATGCTTCTCAGTTTGCAGCGTTGAAACTTGTCACCTATCACTTTTAGAAAACCTTTTGATATAATATTGTGATCTCATCTACAAATTGCAAATAAGCTGTTTGGGTGCCAAATATTTGTTTTTCTATGTTTTCACCCTGTTCTTCAACAGTTCAACTATAAATTGGAAATCTACCAACATTTGATCCCCTTGGTAAAAATTAATTGGAGGTGAAATCCTGCAACAGTTCCTCTATGTTGCTCTCCTCTATGTTGCCCCTTTTGGATGATTAACAATGAGTAAAAAAGTATTTGCTATTTAGAGCCGAATATGCATCATAAAAACTTCGTTACGTCAGTAAGAAAGGATGTATTTATTTGAAAATGTCAACTGGGGGTAATCTGAGCAGGGTCTTGTGAACACTAACAATTTTGGTCATCCATGAAGCTATTTAGTACTGTTGGGGTTTTCCATGTTTAAACTTTTTCTCCTTACTTCGTGATGTTTGCCGGCTTAGAGACTATCTTGTTTTGTTGCTTCAGTTTATTGGCTCTGCTCTAATCTTTATTTATTGTACTCTGGTCACTGGTGTACACTGTTTGCACTTAGTAGTTGACACTACTTCTGTATGACTGAATAGACACTAAACTATAGAATTATGTCGGAATAAATTTGAAAAATTGACTTTTACTTGCTCTTTTGAGTGTAGTAGCAGGATTGTGATTTCTGACGCATGAGATTGAACTGAGATAGATTACGTATGTCATATAGTCACTACCAAAATATAATTAAAAAATATAGTTTAAAGATCATTCACTATCAAAATATAGTTAAGATGCTTGGTTACATATAACTGATGAAAGAAAATGAATGTTGATTTTTACTTTTGTCTTTAAAATAGTGTGCATGCATTGCCACCAAAGTGTGGCATCTCAGCGAATTCACAAAATCGCACTTGTTTATAGTGTTGTCATCTGTTTTGTTATTTATTGACCTGTTGTATAATCTTGAGTTAAGTTAATTTTATTCCTTTTTTAGATTTTATTTGACTTTTATTACTCATTTGGTGATATGATTAGGTAGGATAAGAAAATAGAATATAAGATATGGTATAATAATAAAAACAAGATAAAAATGATCCTATCCATTGTTTTATGCATATAAAATTTCAAACTAAATAAAAGTAGGTTATAATATTAATGATGTTTAGATGACTTTTCATTAAAACTATATATAGTATTCTAAAGGTTGAATTTTATTTTATTTTTAAATTATGAAATTATAAAAATACAATTTTAACTAAATTATCCAATATTATATTTTTTATGTAAGCTTTTATATTACAAAACTTTTATACAAGATTTTAAAATTATATTAATATTTTTAAAATATTGAAATACTATCTTGAATATTTTAATAAATATATAATTTCAATTTGTGTCACAATAATTACAACTATAATTATATATAATATTGTTGAATAAAAAAAGTAGTGATATATGTTATGATATAAATTAATATCAGCAAGGTTTGTCATAAAATTGCAAATGTTTTTGTGAAATTTATATATGATTAAAATATTTTCTTCAAAAGTGTTTGAATAAAAAAAAATTAATATTTAGTTCACCGTTACAATTTAATTATATGTTAAGATTATACATACAAAGAAAATTTACCCTATGCTATTGAGTCTAACTTAATGTTCCTAAGAATAAGACATATTAGAGTGACAATAAAATAAGTGTAAAGATAAAATTCTTATATCATGTTGATACTAAATTACAATAGAATGAATTTTTTTTATATCATATTGTGTTCAGTAAGTGGATCGTAAATAAGTTTCTAAACCTTTTGAAATACTTGTTATGCATTGATTTTTAAATACAGCTATATTAATCTATCTTTACAACCAGTTATCTATCCTCAAATAAATCAATAGGTATTACATAGTTTAATTCAACATAAATTTCAGTTGTTTAACCATAGAATATACATATTCAATGTTAATTATATTTATTAAATAGTATTATTTATCAGTGAGGTGGATTGTTAGGTCTAGTAGGCTTTTTTAAAAGTCCACAGTCTAGTCCACTCAAACAAAATGACTTTTTAAAAAGCCTATATCTAACCTCTTTTAATAAATAAATTAGATTGAAGTCAAGTCTTTAAATTGGTTAAATGATAGGCTTTTGCATTATTGATGTCAAACAAAACACAAAGATCTTACATTGTTTTGTTTCGTTTCTTAGGTGTGTTCACTGCGTCTCATTTCAGATTGAGACAATTATATTGGGTGAAATTTCTTTTTACCAATAAATAGAAAAAACAAACATATAGAATTATTCCGCAATATACAAATGAAAGAGAATAATAAATAATTGGTTTAACCTTCCTTTTTATGGCATCATCATGAATTTGTGGAATAAAGAGTGGTTGATTTTATTACGGTAAATCCCATCAATGATTCAAGGTCTCACCCAAGTGTCTATAAAATAGGGAGAGAATTTGCAGATTAATTAGAGGAAGTTGAATGATGGAGGTTGGATTTCCCTTTCCTCTTTTTTTAAAAAAATAACTTTTGGAGACCTTTGTTCATATTTTATCCAATAATGTCTTTCTTTTCAGCTAAAAGTAGCCTAATTATATTGTGTCATCAATGCAAAATCCCTAAGATTTACTCCTTTTTCTTCGTCAACAACCTAATATTTATGGATATACTCTTCTCAACTCAAACTTTAAAAAAATTATCTGTTCTTTCGTCAACTTTTAATAAATCTATTGTTTTGATGGAAACAACTGAAACGAGAGTAAACATTAAACTAATATTAAGTAAATGAATTTTTGTCATATTTAAATGAATTAAACATAACACTTCTTATATGTGTAAGTCTATAAGAGATCATTAAGAGGATCATTAAGAGGGTGCAGACATACCTTTTAGTACTTGTAAACTGGAATAGACCACCTAATCATACATGTTTATACAAAAGACTTAAATTTTTTCTTATTCTCATAAAAAATTAATGCGTATTTAATTTCCAGAATAAGTAATTGCTTGTTAACTGTTAATATGTCATGTAATAATAAAGAATAGAAAACAATACATGTTCTTTAGCATAGTATTCACACAAAATATTAATAATAAAAATTAATAACAGAAATTTATTTTAATTTATTTCAAGAAAAGAAACGAAATTTAATTATATATATAAATTTAAATTAAATAATGTAAGATTTAATTTAAAATTTTATGAGAAATAATGTTAAGGCAAAAGAAAATAATTCTCATACGCAAGCGAAAAGCAAAAATTTCGGGTGAAGTGAATAAAACGCGTGTGGACATGCAGCGTGGAGAAAGCAGCTTTCCCACCATTTCATCCTTCAAGACCTTAGTCTCTTTGGCCTTTACGCTTCACACTTTAACAAACCCTAACCATCCATTCACGCGCCTTTCTCCTCGGATTCCACCAACTGGACCAGACAACTCACACAAATCACTATTTCACATGTTCTTCCCCTTCTTGTCGGTGGCCCTGTAATCTTAGTGAACCCATCATCAATTCCAAGGTGTTTCCAAATATATCAAACGTTTCTTTTATGTTCATTAGCATCAGAAATGGCTGATTACACAACATTGAGGGAAGTGAAGAACTACAGTTAGCTGGTTTTGTTGCTCCGCGGGCTTTGATCGGACCAGCCCTACACCTCCAGGCTCAGAACCCGACCCAACACACCGAGAACGACGGAGATGGGGCCTCCAACACCGCCCGGCGCCCACGTGGGACGGCCTCCAGGATTCCAAGAACAAGCCCCAAGCCACCACCCATCATAGTCACGTGCGACAGTACGAATGCCCTACACTCGCACGTGCTGGAGGTCTCACCTCGGTGCCGAGGTGATGGAGAGTCTCTCCACATATGCGTGCCGCCGAGGGAGAGGAGTTTGTGTGCTCAGTGGCACTGGCACGGTGGCCAATGTTGCACTCCGTCAACGGCTGGGAAAGCGTGCTCATGTTCCCCGGACTGTTCCAAAATAGTTTCCTATACTGGGACGGCCTTCCTCCACCGGCACTCCCTGGTTCGGACGGGTGTCGGTTTATTTGTCGGGCCGCAGGGACAGGTGGTTGGGGGGCATCGTGGTGGACCCCTCTGATAGCTTTCGAGTGGAATTGGGTGTTGGGGGCTGCTTCCTTCGCTAAACGCCATTGTTGGAAAGTTGCCCTTGTCCTTGAATCACCACCTGATCACGATGAAGATCCAGAGCCGTCACCGGAAATGGACTGGTGGGAGAGGAAACGAACAACCCCTGTCTGCTGGGGTGTGCAGAGTGAGCTATTTGAACCGGGTGGAAGTGGAAGTGTATCATCTCATGCAGCACCAAAAACTTCTCCTTTCTAGTATTCATCTATAATATTTTATGTGCTGCAACTATCAACACTCATCATGTCAACAATCTTATCATCTTTTCTCTTTCTAATGTTAATCAATAAATCTTATGTCCTATCTGCTTTTACCATATAATTTTATTAATGCATGTAACGAAAGAAAGATTCAGGCTGCATATCAATAAATATTAGAACTGATTTCTATCATTCTTTTTTGTTTTCGTGGTTTTTTATGCTTTTTAATTAAAACACGTGGGAGAAACACAGACAAAAAGCCTTTGTTGTCCCATAACGTAACCCTAGTTCCTGCTATTTCTATCTCAACATTGGGAAGGTTGAACTTCAGCCCTTTTTCTTCTCCCAACCCAAAGTTTTCTCACCATACTTTAAGAATAACGCTCTTTTGCAAGGTCCAAATCATCGTGAATGATAGTTTAACATCATAATTTCCGATTTTGATGTGTACTTCTGAGATACACAGAACTTGGAAACAAGTGTCAAGCTATTACCAGAAGATACAAACTTGATATTATAAAAGTTAGGGTAATGTTACATGGGTAGGATTCAACATCAACCATAACATGTATAATATTCTTTTAAATGGTTTTTTTTATGTCCGAATGACTTGACCAGCTTTCTTATAAAGTTTGAGCCAATTTGCAGATCCCAACGTTCATGTCTGCATATTTTAGTGTCACAGTTATCCCTATGAACTTATTCGGTTATTCCGATCACTTCTTAATGAAGACATAAAGTTACGAGAGACTTATTATATACTGTATTCAACTACTACAGAAGGAAGAAGAAGAAGAAAATAAAACTAAAAGTGATATGTAACCTATACATATTGAGGAGTTTTTCTCATAATGCTACTATTGGTTTTTAAAAGCATCACAATCTCTTCTTTCACAAATTATCCAATATGTCTTGCTTTTATTTTATATTGTGAATTTGGCTTGGGCTAATTAAGTTCAGCTTTTTATTTTTTATATTTAATATTAACATTTTAAATTTATTTGTAACTTATTTGTAATGTTGTATCTATTACATATTGTCTGAAACATTTCATTCCAAATCTTATGTAACTAAATGGGATTGTACAGCTTTAGCATCGTGCATTGAACTAAAAATCTCTTTTTGAATTATTAACTATTTGTAATTTTATTTAAAAATGATAATGTTAACTTTAAATACTTTTATGTAAATTTAATCATACACTTAAGAAATTAAAAATACAATTAATAATGCAAAATAATATATGTTTTATGTGTTAATTACATAAAACAATGAATTTAAAGAGAAAGGAAGGGAACAACTCACTTACAATGTCTTTACTACTTTCTAAAGCATTAGAAATTTCAGTATTTTGATTAGTCGTAAAACTAATTTATGGTTACGGTACATTAGATAAACTTCACCTTATTATAAGTGGATTATCGAAAAAAGAATTGGACTTAAATTCACTGATATTAAATCTAACAAGATTTGTTGGATATATAGTTTTAGCTACTGCCAGACAAACATCTACATCTACATGTTAATGAGCTGACAAGAGATAGTGTATAGATAAATGTACAATGAGTTGAGCAATATCCACCTAACAAATCACATGTACACTATGACTTAAAGTTAATTACTTGTTAACATGAGTCATCTTAGACGTAATATTATGAAAAGTTAAATTAAATGTGTAGTTAAGCCTTTTTAATGTTATAGATTAAATTGACTAATACTTACAATTGATTAGACAGCGAGCTTTTACATTGTTTATAATTATGTCTATATTAAAAAACAGGTTCATTATAAATGAGGTCCAGGGACTTAAAGATTGGCAAATTTGAAATCAAAAATAAAAATGGAACAGAACTGTAATTTAAAAATTATATTAGACAGTGAAATTAGTTTAGATGTTCTTAGTTCCTATTTATGAAAATTAATTTACATCATTATTTATATATATGTAAAAAAATTGCAATCAATATTTGGTGAATATTCATAAAATTGCATAAATTATTTATAGAAGTTGAAAAGGATAAATATTTCACTAAATTAATTATTTATTATTATTCTTAACAAAATTTCTAACACATTCTTTACGAATTAAAACTTATTAAAATGACAACTTTTTTGTGGTTTTTTTAATGAATCTCTTATAATTATTTACCTTTCAATAAGTTTCAAGAAATAACAATGCAGGGGAATGAGTAACAGAGAGTGATGTATTATCAAAAGTCCTCGTATCTAAATTATTTCTGAAGAGGTAAAGGTTATAGTAAAATAGTTTTGTACTGAGTGTCTAAGACAAAAAGACACGCTGGAAAACGAACCAAAATCTTAAGAGACGATTAAAAGCTTGACCTGAGTTAAGGTGTATTAGATTTGGATTTATATGGGTGCGTAATCGTAAATGCATATTCTGTCCGTATCCACACGCAAATGGAAGACATAAGTATGCTGTGTACTTTTTTCAGACTAAAATATCAATAGTTTAGTTTTTTCCTATGAGACGAGCTTCTGAACAAATGCTCTAGTTAATGTTACAAATGCGGCAACACATAACTAAAAAGAGGTAGAATGTCCAATTTTTCGTATATGGATAATAAGGCATTTGATGGGAGAACTCTAGCATACTGTATTAGAGAAATTGGGTATTTTTACCAGAAAAAATGGTAATGTAGTTGGTAGTTTCGACTAACCCAACAGGGCTTCAGTATTTGCAAGCATAAACTCGCCCTGATTGTTTAATTTTAACCCCTTAAGAGGAGATTTGACAAATCAAGCATTCAAGGGAGGAACATTCATACAGCTCCCTGCTCAAAGGGAACCCGTACAAATAGTCGACCATGCAAACTAACAACAGCGGATGTCTGAAGAGGATCAATTCTAGCAGGTAAGTTCACAACCTGAAAAAACAGCAAATTTCAGTCGATACCTTTCAATTAAGATGCTACGTCCTAACTTACTCTAAATGTCATAATATCCTCCTGAAAACAGAAATATATCAAGATCTCTGTTAAGAAAAGGTACTTTACCTTTTTGAAGGGGGTAATTCCCCATGGATTATCAATGTGTTCTGGCAGACCAGTTATAACCAGACGTCCAACTGGATCCGATTGGACTCGCACCTGGATTTGTTATAACAAGGTCAATAATAAAAGTTGAACCCAAAGAAGCCATAATCGATGACACAGCAAAACACTCATTTAAAGTGAGTTTGTTTCCAAAATGAGCAAACAAGGTTGTATCCAGTCTTTAGAAGTAGGATTCCTTGATAGACTACAATATCGGTGCTTTTCATAAACAGGATTCCTTACAGGACAAATGAAGTCGCATTATCCCAAACATTCATAAAGCTATGCTGGCAGAATTTACCTCGTCACAATAAAGCATCAAAAAACAACAGTAGAAATTTCAAATTGTACATCCCATTTTATACAGTTACGCTTATGAAACAATCTAGGCTACAATTTAATAAATTTAAGGATTTGATAATTATTTTTATCAAGTGTCACTGTTAGATAACTAAGGAGTACGACTTTGACAGTTAAACTTTAATATGTTTCACCGAACAGAATAAAGTACCCAAATATCATGCCAGTTTTCCCAGATAAAAATAATTATGGATGAAGACAAGTAACCACGGTTCTTACCTCCTCACGAAGGAGCCCGGGAACTAGGGCATACACCTCAAAACAATCTTTCTGGACACAAATACAGAAAACGGTAAAATTTTTATTAAATTATATTAACAGGATAGAAAATTTAGCATTGTGATACGTGAAAAAGTTAGATAAATAATAAAATCAAACTGACTTACAGTTTCTCGTACGTTGATCTTCACCCAGTCGGCTGGGGGTCCAATGTCCACCACTGCTGTGACCAATCTAACAAATGAAAAACTCGATTAGCCTTGATTTAATAAGCAGGCTTGAACTTGGAACAAATATCAGTGAGCATACGTATCTTTTCCAGATTGAAAGTAGGGATTTTAAGTAGTTGATTTGATTGGGGAATCAGTAAATATGAAAGGAATCCTCACTGACAGAAAATGAAAAAAGGATCTCCCAGGGTATATTCACTGTGTCAGTTTGTCTGTGTTTTGGCTCAGAAAACCTTCGCTAGGAAAGACATAGATACAGAAACCTCCTTAAGGAAAAATAAGGATTCAGATGTTTCCTAGGACTCGAATAAGATATATATAGTGAAGTATCATTAAAATGCCCCCAACTTGTCCTGGTTAATTCCTTATTTTATTTTGCTGAAAACCGACGAGTCTAACAGAAAAAACAGCATTTATTGATTGTGTAACAGCAAAAAGAATTTACTCCATAGTACTAATTGTTACTTCAAGATCAAGTGGTGGGTGGGCAATACCGTGAGTTAAAAGATGGTGGATGGAGAAGCCAACAGTGAACAGAGATCATGAATCTATGCACAGGACTACAGGTCAATTAACAGAAAAGACCAGTAACTTACTGTCTATCTCCTTCAATATTTGCAGCTTTCTCAGCATGCTCCAAACCAGCTGGCGTCCTCTGTTTATTAATCATACCTAATTCATTGACGCATAAATAAATAAGATAATCAATTCAGAGAAAGTCGGTGATGTTAGTACTGAGCATACCAATGCTTTTTAGGTTCTTTTCACGCTTTGGTGTGGAACTGAAGTTCTTGTCCTGTGCAAGAAAAGACAAAACACCCCAGTAGTAAATACATTGCTATAAGACAGAGTTACACTGAACAATAAAATGATAAAAAGGATAAGAATGTAAGTTTTAAAGGTCTCAACAGACCTTAGTAGCTGGCTCAGCAACCTCACCATATCCAAGAAGGCGCTGAGCATGCCAACCTTGCATTGCACGGGCTGCTGCATCCCTTCGTGCTCTACCTGATCCTGGAGCCTGGTAAACAGTAGTCTAAAAAAGAAACTCATTATTTGATATATACAAACAGATGGTAGAGGTTGAAATGTTGTTACATGCTTCCAAGTCATGTTTCAAATGCTCTTTTCTGTAAAATTTCTCCTTCCCTATCATTTTCTGTAGAGAATCCACAGCAACCGACCACCTCTGATGATCCCTAGACTAGACGTCACAGATTGAGGACTTTTTAGAGGCTCTGAAGTCAGCATCACCAACAATGGTTGCAATTTTCGGCATTGTTAGCAACTATTTTGGTTTCTCCTTTTCATTATCTTACATTAATTAGCATGATTGGTTAGCAACAAAAAACCCAGGACTTTAGACTAAGTCTTTTGTTTCATACACAACCGTAAAAGCCTAATGTTTTCATTCCAGCAGCCATTTTTTCAAATTTGTACACAGTTCACTCCTCAACCTTTGTGTATCAGGCAAAATAGGAGCATAACTAACAAAAGAAGGAGCTTTATTCAAGTTCACATGACAACTGAAAACAACATATGATCTTATATAATAAAGTAATCTTCTTGTGAGCATATGAAATCAATGAACACAAGGGAAAATTATACAAACCTCTTTTTCCACATTTGGAGATTGATGAAATGCTCCAACAGGGAGCTGTAGCTCCCCAGTCTCTCTCTTATGCTTTTCATACTCTAAAAGTGCCTGTCCAAATGTTCAGTTCAGGAAAAAGGAAACTAGAAGATCATACAACTGATGCTCGTTGGTTATTTCAGAAAAAAAAAACATTTTCCAATTCCAATCACCAAAACTTAAGTCCACTCTAATTTATCAATTTTTACAATAAAAAAGATGAAGTATTTCTAATAATTAGAGATAAGTTCACTCCACCAATTACCTTCTCATAAAAGATTCTAAATGTCCATGAGACTGTAGTGCATGTCCTGCAAGAAAAAAATTCAATATAACTGAGCAAAGTAATACTTTTTTAAAATGAATTGTTGAGAAAAAAAAATTTTTTGGCCTTTGCAATCTGGAAACCTTAGTTTGTGGCACAGATGTGGTTTTTGTCCCCCTAATATTTTTCAAGTCAATCAAGTACCCTTTTAAAATTAAGCAAATGTGCCATCTGTTAAGTTAAGATAAAATACTTAACAGACATGGCAATGGAATTCCATATTAGAATTCCATTTGATTATTAGACACTACATATAGTGAAAAAGGAACTTAAGATTAAAAAAATTATATTAAATAAAATGAAAGGAACAAAGATAAAATAATTTATAAGATTAGAAAAAATTAAAGGAACTTAAGATCAAATAATACCTCATGACATGAAACTAAAAAGGATATCCATATACCAACCTTCTTGGTGTCTGCTAACATTGAGAACAGAAACCAAAGACCCAATTTCCTAGGGTTTTCCCATGAGATTAGGCATAGGATATTTCTCCAAATAGTGAAAAAAGGCACTCGACAAAGGGGACCATTCTTGGTGGACAAGTGTTTGCACCTCTAAGAGGAAGCAAAAACAGTACTGAATATTTAGTACAGACCAAGTTTCTGCAGTCAATGACCTCGATCAACTATTTGTAGCAAGGAAGAAAGCCAGCAAAGTTGTTCCCAATCAAGAATCTTATAGCAACATGAGCCAATCTGAAAAGAGGTTTGTCTTTTCAGGTGGACTATTTATGGACTGAGGACCAGTTTTTGTAATTAAAATAGCTTTTTGGATTGACCGTGGTATTTTGTTTTTCAGATTGTGGCTCGTGACTAGCTTACTAAGGATAAGTAGTCTGTTAAGAGCAACTTTTGAATGTATTGGTTGTAGAAATATTCTCTATTTCCATATTTTACCTATGTAAATAATATTTGTTTCCTTGCATCTATATAATAGTCTGTTTAATCAGTAATTAGTAAAAATTTCAGATGGTAATGACTAGATTTAATTCCTTTAATCAAGTCATTTTGAATGCAAATTGATAATTAAAATTTACTACAAAGAGTTGACCGCTTAAGCGATTAAAAATCAATTTCAATCTTATTTTCAAGGGTTTCTTTGGGTATTCTGAACTGTAATGGATTAATTTATGGTATCTGCTACGGCTATCTTCTATTTGGTTTTGCTTAAGTTACTTTATATTGGCCCAATGATACGGTTCATAATAAAACCTGGTTAACATGGTATTTGATATGGTTAACTGATATTTGATTCAGAATGGTTAATTCACACTAATTTGGTTCTGATTTGATTCGTTATATGATCAATGGTATATGGTTAATTTTGTACTAATACATGCTCACAAACTCTGCCATGTGGTACTGATGTATATATGTAGAATGAGAGAGAGAGAGAGAGAGAGAGAGAGAGAGATTCATGGTTTAGTCAAATCTGGGATTGAACTGCACCATGTTGACCCTGTATGGTTGGTGTTTACTTTCATTTTTGTATTATACACACTTGTATGGTTAGCATTTATAGTCAACTACCACCACAAATCTGTCCTTGGAGCTATAAAATAACAAATATCCAATTCTACATCCAAGCAAATTTTGCATAATATAGTTTCAGAATCTGATAATGATGTTAAAGGAAATTCTACCTGCATAAACTCCATACTGTATAGTCATTCAAATTTCCAGTCTTATTACCAGCAAACTGTATGGACTTAGGTAATGGGTTTTGCTGTCTACATGAACCCGTTATGTGATGAGTTTTGCTATAATAGAAAACCTACTACTAGATGATGGGCAAGGTGCAAGAACCAAAGGGGAACAGGGTAGATATTTCACATCTTCTGTCAACAACCTTGCAGTGTAAATTAGAGAGAACGGTTCAGATAATTTTTCGTCACCACCAGTTGACATATGTCATTGAATCTGAGAATCACCCACTTGATTTTTTTCCGTTCATTCAACTCTCAAGAACCTGAACAACCAAGATTCAGAAACTCCAAGGCAATTCAGATAGAACATAGTTTTTATTTTCCAATATAATCACAGCTACTCATGTTTTCAACAAATATTATCAACAATTACATTTTTAATTTCTTTAAACAATTTCTTCTGATGTGACGAATTGTGATTGGCTAATTAATCAAAATCAGCACAATGACTAGCCACATTGCAAAACTGCCAGGCAGATTAACTAATTCTATTAACAATTGGATGGCAAGTTAATCATAGGGGGACTGACTGGCTTGCAAACTTTTATGGGGAATAAAATCACACATGACAGGTCCAAACTAGTGGAGTGGTTGGGGAGGTCAAAAATGCAATTAAGCATTTGATGTTTTAGAAAGTAAATTGCCCATGTTAATAATAAACAGTTACAAACAACTCAGAAAACTACAAAGAATTCATCAGTGACAGTAAATAGCAAAAATACAATATGATGAGGCTACGAAAGCTTAATAAGAACTACAAAACAATTATATTTTAGGCCTTACTTTGGGGGGTTGAAAGACTCTCCTACTTGTCGCCACAACTTGGAGCCAGTTACCTACATATAACCAATCAATAAGATCAACTTTGTCAGTTACGAGTAATGAATAACTGACAAAAGGGTCTAAAACATTTTAGCACCAACTGAAATAAAACTTATGGATGTTGATAGAAATAATGCAATTATAGTAATAATTGAAAATACAGTCTATTATATGTCATGTGACATTTAATTATGATTAATCAGAGTGATTGAATTTAAATGTAACGTAATTATGCTTGTATTTGTCTGTTGACATAAATATATGTTCGACTGCATAATTGTAGTACATGAAATTCATCATATGTCTCATTCTCTTTCATTCTAAACATGATATCAAGAGCCAACAAGAAGCAACCCAAATGTCAAGTAAACTAAACATGTAAAGATATGTCCTATTCCAAAATTTATAAAATAAATTCAAATCAAGTTCCAGAACAAAAAAAGAATCTGGGCTGGCTTCATGACACTATAGAAAGTACCATATCAAATCACAGGCCAAAGCTATTACTATGTCTCCACAAGTCAGATCATAACTATTTAAACTTCCCCTACAATATCTTCCAAAATTTAAGATAAAATACTTAACAGACATGGCAATGGAATTCCATATTAGAATTCCATTTGATTATTAGACACTACATATAGTGAAAAAGGAACTTAAGATTAAAAAAATTATATTAAATAAAATGAAAGGAACAAAGATAAAATAATTTATAAGATTAGAAAAAATTAAAGGAACTTAAGATCAAATAATACCTCATGACATGAAACTAAAAAGGATATCCATATACCAACCTTCTTGGTGTCTGCTAACATTGAGAACAGAAACCAAAGACCCAATTTCCTAGGGTTTTCCCATGAGATTAGGCATAGGATATTTCTCCAAATAGTGAAAAAAGGCACTCGACAAAGGGGACCATTCTTGGTGGACAAGTGTTTGCACCTCTAAGAGGAAGCAAAAACAGTACTGAATATTTAGTACAGACAGCCCGGGAACTAGGGCATACACCTCAAAACAATCTTTCTGGACACAAATACAGAAAACGGTAAAATTTTTATTAAATTATATTAACAGGATAGAAAATTTAGCATTGTGATACGTGAAAAAGTTAGATAAATAATAAAATCAAACTGACTTACAGTTTCTCGTACGTTGATCTTCACCCAGTCGGCTGGGGGTCCAATGTCCACCACTGCTGTGACCAATCTAACAAATGAAAAACTCGATTAGCCTTGATTTAATAAGCAGGCTTGAACTTGGAACAAATATCAGTGAGCATACGTATCTTTTCCAGATTGAAAGTAGGGATTTTAAGTAGTTGATTTGATTGGGGAATCAGTAAATATGAAAGGAATCCTCACTGACAGAAAATGAAAAAAGGATCTCCCAGGGTATATTCACTGTGTCAGTTTGTCTGTGTTTTGGCTCAGAAAACCTTCGCTAGGAAAGACATAGATACAGAAACCTCCTTAAGGAAAAATAAGGATTCAGATGTTTCCTAGGACTCGAATAAGATATATATAGTGAAGTATCATTAAAATGCCCCCAACTTGTCCTGGTTAATTCCTTATTTTATTTTGCTGAAAACCGACGAGTCTAACAGAAAAAACAGCATTTATTGATTGTGTAACAGCAAAAAGAATTTACTCCATAGTACTAATTGTTACTTCAAGATCAAGTGGTGGGTGGGCAATACCGTGAGTTAAAAAGATGGTGGATGGAGAAGCCAACAGTGAACAGAGATCATGAATCTATGCACAGGACTACAGGTCAATTAACAGAAAAGACCAGTAACTTACTGTCTATCTCCTTCAATATTTGCAGCTTTCTCAGCATGCTCCAAACCAGCTGGCGTCCTCTGTTTATTAATCATACCTAATTCATTGACGCATAAATAAATAAGATAATCAATTCAGAGAAAGTCGGTGATGTTAGTACTGAGCATACCAATGCTTTTTAGGTTCTTTTCACGCTTTGGTGTGGAACTGAAGTTCTTGTCCTGTGCAAGAAAAGACAAAACACCCCAGTAGTAAATACATTGCTATAAGACAGAGTTACACTGAACAATAAAATGATAAAAAGGATAAGAATGTAAATTTTAAAGGTCTCAACAGACCTTAGTAGCTGGCTCAGCAACCTCACCATATCCAAGAAGGCGCTGAGCATGCCAACCTTGCATTGCACGGGCTGCTGCATCCCTTCGTGCTCTACCTGATCCTGGAGCCTGGTAAACAGTAGTCTAAAAAAGAAACTCATTATTTGATATATACAAACAGATGGTAGAGGTTGAAATGTTGTTACATGCTTCCAAGTCATGTTTCAAATGCTCTTTTCTGTAAAATTTCTCCTTCCCTATCATTTTCTGTAGAGAATCCACAGCAACCGACCACCTCTGATGATCCCTAGACTAGACGTCACAG